GAGGGCACTTGTTAGAATGTAACCTGGGGATAATCGCCAGTAGCAGCATCAACATAATAGTTTGGCTTTACCAGACGTCAACTTATTTATTTATCTATATATTTGGGGAAGTGAAGGGTCATAAATATCTGGATTTTCACGGTATCCAGTGTATCATTAGTTGTGATAATTATACACCACAATTTTGTTCAAATGTCTCTATGAAGCAGAACATGTAGTAACAATTACCTATTCTGGAAAAGGAGAGGACTTTAACGTCTCACCAACACAATATTTGTGTTACTTTGACACTAAGACATAGGGTATATTGAATAATTCCCTAAGAACCCCTACATTCATGAGGAAATATTTTTGTTGTAACCGCTGATATACTGTCGAGTACAGTGTACTAGTCAATGAAATCCATTAATTCAGGAAACGCTACGCATTATAAACAAGGTCGGTTAAATGCGATAAAATACTGTGTAACTTTTCCGCACGAGGATTTAAGTTGCTGCATTAACTATAAAAAAACTGGTCACTACAAAATGCGGTTACGCCTACTTTTATTCGAATTCCAATTGTCAAGGGTTCTTTCTGTGAATAGGCGATACGTTCATTGTCACCACTTATAACCGAGCTTGCAAATTGTCAACAGGGGGGTCACGTGGCTAAGTGGGTAAGACGCTGGCTCTCTAGCTTGGAGGTCGGGTGTTCGATCCCTGCATTTGCCGAGAAAGTTCTACCAGATTTTCCGCTGTGGTTTCCCCTTGTCAGTGATGCAGGATGGAGGGCCTGACAGGGACAGCTGCCCGTCTTCATTAGCCCAGGTTAGGAGCAGAGCAGTAGGACGTTAAACCCTATTTCATTTCATTTCATTTGTCAACAGTTCTGGTCTTTTCGGTTTGTAAAACGAGGTTCAACCATGTACATTGGTGAACACTTAACGGAACCCTTGTCAGTTGAAATTCCGGACAAATGTTTGTCTCAGTATACGTATGATCGAACTATTAAGTCTCATTTTATTTACATTGCTCGAAACTTTCATTATACTCGTTCTTGGCTGTGATATCATCCTTGGTGGAAGCAAACGATGATTGCCGTCTTCATCATTGTACTCTGTCCCTGAAACTTAACGAAGGGAAAGATTTCACGTGTCTGAGCATGGATTTAATTTACAAACTAAAAGCAATGAATATTTTTACATTAATTCAATTCTGAAAATTAAAAAAAAGGGACAAAATACGATTTCCATTACAATATGGTAAACATTCACGAATGCACTATAGAAAGATAAAATACCCCAAAACAATACTACATGTATCTACTCAATTACATTCATGCCTCGTTCACTTTTACATTGAATATTCGTTTTCGTTTTATAGTGTATATCTGTTGGGGCCATAATCAATATTAAGGAAAAGCTACGATACCCCACATAACGGTTTTAGAAATGACAGCAGTCAAGCATAAAAAGGGGCGATATATTTAATTATATAAAGAAATTTAATATTGAATAAATATCGCGTTTACAAGCTATTCTTGAGGCAGTCAAGGGCAATCACTCTGCAAATAATTTTCGAATCTATTTAAAACCCGAATACTTCCGACAATTTGTGGATATAGAGTCACGCTAAAAATGGAATGACAAATATGCAGTCTATCGTACGTCAAAGATATAAGTCTACAAATATCTGTTGAATCTTTTAAATTCAAACTCATCAAAAATATTATAGGCAGTAAGTCCATACACCAAGTTTCATCAACATCAAATGGAAATTGTAAACTCTGTTGAGATCACAGGCTATTTTGACCGTATTTTGCCTGTATAAAGAGAAATAACTCCATGAATAATTTTCAAAGCTCGTTCAAATTCGAACTCACCAAAAGGCCGCGCACCAAGTTAAATTGAAATCGGATGAACTATATCGGGTTCATAGCCAAGTGACGAATAAAAAGCATAACATATAGATGACATACAGAAAACCGGATTAACTCACTCGATTTATAAATTATTATTTATAAACTTAATGGCATGGAATCAATTGATTATTACTCTAATGTTTGTGAGTGAAAATAAATTTAGTTTCTATTTTATTTGTCGATTTCTAAATGATTTATGGGCCTATTTCAGCTCTATACGTTCTCTAATGACAATATAACTAGGCACTAATATGGAGCATTAAATTGTAATAACAGCTATTGATTCAGAATTGGTATATATCAGCAACGGAACTGAAGACCATTTCACACCATAGTACCCATGATTGGCGAATATAAAGAGAAAACAATTATATTCGGTCGTATGAGCAAAAATACACAATATTAAGGTTTTATCCAGAGACTGTGATATTTATTCCTATCTATGCACCAGCCTAGTGTGTATAGTATGCATACGAAAACAAGGAGCTGGGTGGGTTGATTCTCAGGATACAATTTCCCGATGTTAGACCCATATTAAAGGTAAATGAAATGAAATGAAAAGGTGTTTAACGTCCTACTGTTCTGCACCGAACTGGGCTAATGAAGACGGGCATACGCCATACAGAGTGCTATGAGGGACATTTTGCCCGGACAGCGGCACTACGGCCTACTCTTAGATCGAAAATCCAACTGCCAAGGGATCTTTTACGTGCAGGCCAATGTGTACACGGGACCTCGGTTTTTCGTCCCATCCGAACGACTAGACAGCTGTCCTTGTCAGGGACATAAGATTAGATAAAGAACTGACAGTTCTCGCTATAATAGTTAAAACATAGATAATGAATAGGGAATCCGTTGAACATTTCAGTAAAATTAATTTACTCTGAGGCGAGGTATCAGCGAGACAATACCAGTGTAGCCTCGATTGTCATTGCTACCGTTGTTATGATATTATTCATTTTTACATTTCAACAACATTACGTATTTTAATTAACTTAATATCGGAGCCATCCGATGGCATCAAGAGTTGATTATTGTCTTGGTAAGTTGATTAATGTCTTATTAATAATTTATATAACATTTAAGGCCTAAAGAAAAGTCTGTTTAAAGGTTTGGTGAGAAATAGATCGAGAACGATTATTAATCGAAACATCTATTTCGGGAAACAGATCTAGAACGACTATTAATCGAAAAACCAATTCAAGGGAAAAATTATTAGAACGATTATTAATAGAAAAACCTATTCAGGGCAAATAGATCTAGAGGACGATTACTAATCGAAAAGCTTTTTCACTGTCCCGGAACTACTTTTACATTAGATCATGTGGGTTGTTTAGAGTTGAAACAAAGAACTGTGCAGGGAAATGTATATCATTGTAAGTAAGATTACGTATGTTTGACATTAATCGAAAAGCATTTTCATCGCCAGCAATTATATGTACTTCAGATCATGCAAGTTGCGTAGAATTAAAACGATGGACTAGACAAGGCAACATATTTATTCACATAACTCGCTTTTGGAACTTTTTTTAAAACGAAATTCATGTTATAATCAAATTTCCATAATAATCAAGCAATATAAAATTTACATTTTTATCATTTGGGGATATAATAAAGTGATAGTGAAGTTAATTATTGCTTCCCTCCGTGACTTCTACTCTATAAATGTAGAACAATAGATCTCTTTAAATTGTGACAAGATCTAAGATATTGGCAACAATTAAGTAACAGTTCTAGGGTTTCTATACAACCCGACTCGTGTATACTTTATCATTTTTATAGGTTTCTTGGTCATTTTTATAGGTTTCTTGAGGGAAACTATCTTAAGAATTCCTAAGTTTTAAAATGGTTTTATCCTTTTTACTTGGTTTTCCATCTGTCTTGTCTATTACTCTCAAGTGGCTAACATCTGATCATTCGACTTTTGACTTATTCTCATTTTTCATTTTGTAAGACGAGGATTTGTCACCTCGTTCATTTAGAACGCGCTGTCGTGATTTAAACTAACATTTATAGAGGCTTTTAAGATCATTGTTTGAGGTTCCTGTTAGAATATACGTCTTCTTACTTCGTTTAATCAGTGGCGTTTCTTTTTATAAAAAGCGAGACGAATGTAGAAGATTGTGATAACCTTCAAATGCAAATATCCGGTTTAATACGTCGAAATAACCCTAGGGAATGGTTGCTGACATCTAGTGTTGATACGTATTTATCTGGATCGTGGAAATAACTGGCATCCTGATGTGAGGAGACTACTAATCAGTTGATTTTACGTCATTAAATAACGGGGATTTTCAAAATTTAAGATGCATTCTTAAGTCACTTGTCAGCATGTCGGACATAGATTACTGATTCACTGCGCATGGATTTAAAGATACAGCATTTTTTTAAAAAAATCCCGAGCACGTGTATCAGTTATACGGCCTGATCTCGCATATCTGTTTTCTGAACATTTTAAGAATCACATGTTTAAGAATTGAGATTCGGCCTATTTCAATCACTTTATAGTTTGATAGATGCCATTTGGACAATATGTAAAGGAAAATGAATGTACACTAGATTAAATAATGTTGTTGTATTCTGGAAAATATCATTCGGTGTTGTGTTCACACTTTTTAAATTATTGTTTATTTTTTTGTCTAGATAATTCACCTAGATTAAACTTTACAAGTTTCAAGATTCAAGCTTGTAAATATACTCAAAATAAATCTCGATATATTATTTCCCCCATAGATTTAACACAAAATATCAGAATTCAGATGTCATCATTGCCGTTTATGTCCTTATAGATATTAATTACACATCTCCAGTTTGTTTTTTGATAACCCCATGATTCCGAACTTGCCAAAGGCGGAAAAACTAAAATAGCTAAAATCACCAATGATATATATCTGCCGAAAATCTAAGCAGCTGGTGAAAATCATAAAATAATACTATTCCAGAGGGGGTGGTATTTCATCACATTTATTCTTACTTTGAGATTTAAAAAAAAAATTTGACGCCTGGATGGTTTTATAAACGAACACTTAAGCCATATATTTAACCGATCTATTTATTGGTTTAAATTTGATTTTAAAAATGTCTTTCTTTCATTTCAGAAAAATCTAATCCGTCCATACAACTTCTTCAGCCTAGTTTCCGGTCCGTGTCCTCAAATGTAACTTTCCGAGAAGGGGCATTGGCTGTTCTGCCGTGTTCCGTTTCAAATCTGGGCACCAAACAGGTAAGCCTTGTACGTTCATTTTATCTTCTTTTTTGTAAATAAAATATAGTCATACAGGTCGACCCGAAATTCATGTACACGACAATCGCACGAGCCCATATCTCCCGATATGTACTGATAGTAAGACCGATTATATATCTCAATAACTAATTATCTTAATAGAATGTAACTTCATTCAGCCACCGTGCTAGTACGGATGGAAATGAAATGAAATGAGGTTTAACGGCCTACCGTTCTGCTCCGACTGTGCTAATGAAGAAGGGCATACGGGCTACTTTTATATCGAATTCCAACTGCCAAGGGATCTTTTACGTACACGCCAATCTACACGGGGCCTCGGTTTTTTGTAACACCGAATGACTAGACAACTGTCATTGTCAGGCCCACCGTCCTGCACTACTGACAAGGGGAAACCAATAGGAAAGACCCGGTGAACTTTCTCGGCCAACACCGGGAGCGAACCAGCGACCTTCAGGCTAGCGAGCCAGCGTTTTGCTCTCTTAGCCATCGAGTGACTCCCTAGTACGGATGGAAAAAGAGGAATGTATATTAGTATCGCGCTTTGTGCCTTAATTTTTAACTGCTGGGTACCCAACTTATAACGTGGGTAACCATAGTATCCTTGTCATTTGATTTCGTAATAAAACGAAACGAATGATGATTAATAACTCGATGCAAACCACCACCGTCTTCCGCAAAGAGTTGTCACACGTTATAATGTGACATCCATCTTGTCAGATTCAAATTCCACAATAGGATTTAAGAAAGTGTAATCGGCTTTTCGAAAGGGTTGGGGTGTGTCCAAGGCAAACGTGGGTAGGTGGTTAGGTATATATAATTATACACAAGGGAAATCGAATAGGGTTTAACCTTAGGTTTATCTATTTGTATATATATACGACTATATTTATTTATTTCAAAACAACAGCAGGCCAATTAGCTAGCTACTAGCATAATCGGCCCTCGAATGTTGTATTTCCACATTTTAGTTTGGTAAATCAGGGCATTGTGATCGAGACAAAGACTATATAGCAGCACGTGCACGTGTAGAAAGTAAGCCGACTGGACTATTGGGAAAATAATAAAGTGACTGCTATAACAGAATATTTGTTGGATACTGAACATGAATTTTGGTGTATTCAAAAATTAGCTCTTTAGTGATAAACATAGTGTAGATACAGATTTACCATATCTATTAACTTTTAAACGATGGATTCGGGTCCAACTCCAAGAGCTTTCTATTTTTTTCCTGGATTATATATACTCTTTCAGTGGGATTGGGGCGTACAGCCATGTAATGTCGAGGTAATGAAAATAAAATCTTGAATCCACAGTTATTACTACAATTTTATTTGCATCTTAGATGTCATCGTTAGAAGCTAGAAGCTTAAAGTTTCAAGCGAATAGTCACTAACATTGCCGTATCATATTCTGGTTTACACCGTCAATAATCAAGTTTTGATTAGTTCTGGGCTATTTGCAAATTGTAACTCATTAAACGATTGCATTCGAGAGTGTAGTTGCCAAGAATTTAGGGCAAATATAATATTTCGGCTTTTACACTATATCATTTTATTGATTTATTTCAATTCCAAATCTGTGGTATCTTATACCTTCTGGGGATTCCCCTACATCTTGAAATCCCAGTGAAGGAAATATGTCTGTTTTAGATTGTCTCGGTATGATAAGACGTTTACAGCTTTAAATAAGGAAGCTTAGTTGGGTACAAACAAGTATTTCAAGATGATGAGACAACACACAGACTAAACATTGAATCTCTGTACATAAACTAATGATCGAGATAAGATCGCTAGACCATAATTTGTTAGAACCCAAAATGAAAGACGCATCGTCATATTTAAAGAAGCCGCAGTAATTCAGCGAGTAAGACACTAGCACGGTACTCGGGAGATCGTTGCGCGGTTTAGTGAGGAAGGCGCTGGCTCGCTAACCCGAATTTCCCGGATTCAATCCAGGTGTTAACAGAAACAGTTCCTCGGAATTTTCTGGCGTGGTTCCACTTGTTAGTGGTGCGGGACTAAGACATTGGCAAGATACAGTGTCTAGTCATTTGGATGAGACGAAAACCTACGGTCCTGGGTTCGATCATGCTGTTGACAGAAAACGTTCCTCGGAATTTTCCGACTTGGTTCCACTTGTTAGTGGTGCGGGACTAAGAGATTGACAAGGTACAGTGTCTAGTCATTTGGATGGGACGAAAACCCACGTTCCTGTGTACGTGAAATAACCAATGACAGATGGAATGTTCGTCTTGATTATCCCAGTAGGTAAATGACCCGTAGTACGTTAAACTTTCTTTCGTCAAATTTACTTTGTTTTACCCAAATTATAAGAATGTCGCCAGTGAGACATGGATGTGTTACAGATACTTAGCAGTTTAAAGCAATTCGGACAAGCGTGAAATATAACACTGAGCTGTACATATCGTCAAAGCAGTGGAATACAGGATACAATAAGCGTTTACGCCAATTCAAAGAAAAGACTATTTGTCATATACATCTAAGCGTATCCCCATGACATTTTATTGTCATCGATACTGTATTTCAGAAACATGCCAGCAAGCCAAGGATAATCTTACCTGCGCATTAACTGGGCATGCATACTTTTGAATTTGGCCCGTGCTAACCTCGTTTCCAGAAAACTAATTTGATTGTCACTTTGTAGCTACTGGTATTCATTATTAACAAATAAAATGAAATGAAATGGGATTTAATGCGTGCTATGAGGGGAATCTTGCCTGGACAGTGACCTACTGATAATTTGAAAACCAACTGTCAGTGGTTCTTTTACGTGTACGCCAATGTGTACACGGGACCTCGGTATTTCGTATAATCCATACGACTAGACACTATCCTCCACCACGGACAAGGGGAAACCGCGCCCGACAAATTTTGGTTGTAAGAATATGCATTTATGGTATCTACCATATGTTGCAATCTGATTGAGGAAACTGCAAGGATATCACACCATTATGGTGTGCCGAGAAAGTTCCTCGAGAATCTCAAGTCCGATCTTTACCTTTGTCAGTGGGGCATAACAGTGGACATGAAATGAAACAGCGTCTGACCGTTCGGATGTCCATTTTAGCGTAAATGCGTGTAACATAAATGTTGATACTTAGATGTAAAAGTCTTCCCATAGCACACGCACGTCTTTATTAGCTCGGTTGGTGCATAAAAGTAGGCTGTTAACCCAATTTCGTTTCTTTTAATTTCCATTAAGACATAGATGTAAGGGTAAAATGTTGCTTTTTTCTGAGTAATATACTGGAAAAATATAAATCTATATTCTACCGGGGCAGTGCAGCGTTAATTGCGTCTGAACACCTTTCAAGAACCTATCAACGCAATTCGCAGCTAAAATACTGTTTACTTCTGCTGTGAGGTAATTCTTAAACAAACATTATAGAGTGTGCATAGTTCACTTTTGAGTGCCTCGAGATTCTAATCATCGATGGTATTTATATCACATGGGTCCGAGTTGGATTCCGACACCTTGTACACAAGAAGCTTCGTATTGAATCATTTATAATTATTAACGTAGGCCGCATTGTTGTTCTTGTTCTGGTTGTTCTTTTTGTTTATGTTCTTCTTGGGGAAAACGCTCTTCTGAAAAAAGCCTAAGGCATGAAACTTTATATACTTGTTCATTGGCCAAATGCGCATAAATCAACGGATTTCGACATTTGATATGAAGTCACAATTCCAAGATGGCTGTGATGAAGTTGCATAGTCCACAGACCGCTCATACTTCTTGAAATAAAACATTATGGTTAGATTTAAGCGCTGATGGACCAATGCGTTTTTGACAATTGATGTTTAGTAAGGATGCAGCATGATAACATCAAAATACACCACATAGCTGGAATTACATGGCTATCAAAAGACAATACAAAGCAGTCTTTAACATTCGTATAACATATGCCTATTTCTTAATGATGCACGTACATTTGTTAATTCATTTCTCGTGTTTTACATGCTTTTGAAGCTACACATGAATGTCGAGTACAAAAATGCTAATTAATCATAGATGCGCGTCATGGGAAGAATGTTTACACTGATTGATGGACGAACTGGAATCCAACAGTTGAATGTAGTCGAAGACAAGCCAGTTTTTTGTCTTTGTCAATAATCACGTGGAAGTGTTTACCCGTCAATAAAGAATTAACACACTTAAGTTATTTTGCAGTAATGACTAAAGCCTTAATTTAATGTTCACTGTGTTTTTAAAGTTAACCAATCAAATTAAAGGGTAACTAACGAAGAACCAGTAACGCTATTTCCAGGAATGGCTCAAATGTTTAACTGTATACTTGTATTTAAAGAACGGGACTTAGTTATATTCTATTAATATTTTTAAAAAGCAAATATGACTTCTGATTGCTAGATTATGGTACACAATTCCTTGTGTACGTTCTAGAGGCTCAAGTGATCACTCGATTAACTTGTTGCAGTTTTATATACATTAGAATATACCCTTTGTCACATTTAAATGAAATGTGGGTTAACGTCCAACTTTTCTGCACCGACTGGGACCTTTAAGAACCTTGTAATACCTCTAGCGGTGATATTTATCATCTAGTTGTTATGCAATTATGTATTGTTAAAGTTAAAGATGCATTATGTAAGAGCTATTGTGGCTTCAAATGATAAATAAACTATTATTTAAAAATTTATTAACATGACAACCCATGATCAGCTCTCTAGGACATCGGATGGCTCCGATTTTAAGTAGATTAGAACACTTCGGCCATTTAATGATTTAATTTAGAATGGAGAAACCACGATAATAAACAATCAATGCCACATAATATTTATGGAAGGGTGTCGCTGCCGATATTAAATGTCCTGCAATGTCTTATTTATTGATTATGTGTAAAAAGCACAATATACAAGGTACTAATACCGGTAATGATAGGGTCAAAATGCCTCTTAGGCAAGCGTTAATTATAAAAAGTCAAAAGTAATTTGGCAAATGACAAATGTTTT